AGAAGCAGAGTAAAGAACAAATTGGTGACAGTTATGAATATTCACACATATCTCAATTTATATCAGAAAACAGGATAGACATTCTTGTAAATGCTCTCAGTTTAACAGCATGTCAAATAGCTTCTTCAGACTAGTTGTATGATAAGGAAAGATCCCCCTCTACCTGCAGCTGCAGGGACAAAGGAACATATCCTTCACCTTTTTGTTAGTTATGGAAACTTGCATTTTTAAAGATAAGTTCTGGAATTTCATTAGCTAGCATTATAAGCAAAAAGCAGGCCTGTAGAGTTCAAGTTTTCTGGCAGAAATGGATATGGGGATAAAAAGGATTTTACTTAATAGAAATACTTGAATTGAAACAGGCTCTTCAGCTTAAACAGGAGTTTGGCCTTGAGGATATAATTTGATAATCTGCTCTCAATTGTCATAGCCTGTGTGTGAGGATATGCTTATGTGTGTAGTGTGAGAGAGAGTGTATATGTAGGAGCAATTTTTAAAATTTAACACTTAAATCTAGTGAAACCTTGACCAATTTTCAGATTTTTTGCCCTCAGTTGAAACCTTGAATTGTTGTTGTTGTATTAAAATGATTACATTTTTCTTTAGCCTGCATTTTTTCACTATGTAAACATACTTGGAAATTTTGAAATTTAATGTCTGAGGAGCTTCTTCAAGCATATGTAGGGGAATGTTAAAAAAATCTTTGAAATAGAGAATAGGGCCATTTTCTGACTTAGAGAGTAATGTGTTTGATATGATTGTTATGCTGTTGTTGCTATTTTAAAGAAGTGTGTGGGGGAAGGGGAGGATGGGAGTATGATCTGTATGCTACATGAATCCTTCTATAATAATGAACCGTTTTATGAATGGATTTGGCCATATTCATTCTAGAAGGCATTGTGTTCTCATAGACTTTCTTTTCTAGATTTCACCTCTTAAAAGTAGGGCGTTTGACTAAATCATCTTTTATTCCTCTTCCTACTATTTTTCCACAAACAGACCTAACTAACTAAATACAAACAAATCACTTAAGAGAGTCAGTTGGATTAGTCCTCCATCTTTGTTGCTCTCTTTCTAGGCCCTAGAATTGCTTTTAACAAGTGTCAATTAGTTCTTTTGTAACGAATACAGGAATGAATTGGTGTCCAGATCTTAGAATGATGAAATGTCAGTCTTTAGACTGCATCTTAATATTATTACCTTATTAATAAATTACTGTGATTTATATTAGTAACCAAGATGATGAATCAATAAATTAATCTTAGGTGTATTTAAACATTGGATAGGCAACAGATAGAGAAGAGTACTTTTATAATATCCAATTAGACATTTAATCAAGACAGTTGACACTCCAAGATTAATTGTTTTTATTCATGATTCTCTGAATTTACTCCTAAAATATTTTCTTGTCTCTATGACAGAAAATGACTACCTAAGAAAGTTTTGGGCATGTTTGCTGTTTTCCTTTCCACCTTGGGACAAACTCCATGCTTATATTCTGTTT